AATGGCCATAACTCCTTAAATATTTAGTTTTCGGCGATATTAGCTATTATTTGTTATCACTTATAGTGACATCAATTATTGAATATTTTAAAATGGCCATAACTCCTTAAATATTGAGTTTTCGGCGATTTCAGCTATTATTTGTGATCACTTTCTAGAGCATCAATTATTGAATATTTTAAAATGGCAATAACTCCTTAAATATTGAGTTTTTGGCAATTTTAGCTATAATTTGTGACCACTTTTTAAAGCATAAATTATTGAATATTTTAAAATGACTATAACTCCTTAAATATTGAGTTTTCGGCGTTTTTAGCTATTATTTGTTATCACTTATAGTGACATCAATTATTGAATATTTTAAAATTGCCATAACTCCTTAAATATTGAGTTTTCGTCGATTTTAGCTATTATTTGTGATCACTATTTAAAGCATCAATTATTAAATATTTTAAAATGGCAGTAACTCCTTAAATATTGAGTTTTCGGCAATTTTAGCTATTATTTGTGATCACTTTTTAAAGCATCAATTATTGAATATTTTAAAATGACTATAACTCCTTAAATATTGAGTTTTCGGCGTTTTTAGCTATTATTTGTTATCACTTATAGTGACATCAATTATTGAATATTTTAAAATGGCCATAACTCCTTAAATATTGAGTTTTCGGCGATTTTAGCTGTTATCTGTATTCACTTTTCTAGGCATGAATTATTGAATATTTTAAAATGACCATAACTCCTTAAATATTGAGTTTTCGACGTTTTTAGCTATTATTTGTGATCACTTTTTAAAGCATGAATTCTTGAATATTTTAAAATGGCCACAACTCCTTAAATATTGAGTTTTCGGCGATTTTAGCTGTTATCTGTATTCACTTTTCTAGGCATGAATTATTGAATATTTTAAAATGGCCATAAGTCCTTAAATATTGAGATTTCGGCGCTTTTAGATGTTTTTGTGATCACTTTTTAAATCATGAATTATCGAATATTTTAAAATGGCCATAACTCCTTAAATATTGAGTTTTCGGCATTTTTAGCTATTATTTGTGGTCACTTTTTAAAGCATGAATTATTGAATATTTTAAAATGGCCATAACTCCTTAAATATTGAGTTTTCGGCGTTTTTACCTATTATTTGTGGTCACTTTTTAAAGCATGAATTACTGAATATTTTAAAATGGCCATAACTCCTTAAATATTGAGATTTCGGCGCTTTTAGATGTTTTTGTGATCACTTTTTAAATCATGAATTATCGAATATTTTAAAATGGCCATAACTCCTTAAATATTGAGTTTTCGGCATTTTTAGCTATTATTTGTGATCACTTTTAAAGCATGAATTATTGAATATTTTAAAATGGCCATAACTCCTTAAATATTGAGATTTCGGCGTTTTTAGATGTTTTTGTGACCACTTATAGAGATATCAATTATTGAATATTTTAAAATGGCCATAACTCCTTAAATATTGATTTTTCGGCAATTAAAGCATGAATTATTGAATATTTTAAAATGACCATAACTCCTTAAATATTGAGTTTTCGGCGTTTTTAGCTATTATTTGTGATCACTTTTTAAAGTATAAATTATTGAATATTTCAAAATGTCCATAACTCATTAAATATTGATAATTTTAAAATGGCCATAACTCCTTAAATATTGAGTTTTCGGCATTTTTAGCTATTATTTGTGATCACTTTTCTAGGCATGAATTATTGAATATTTTAAAAAGACTATAACCCCTTAAATATTGAGTTTTCGGCGTTTTTAGCTATTATTTGTGATCACTTTTTAAAGCATGAATTCTTGAATATTTTAAAATGGCCATAACTCCTTAAATATTGAGTTTTCGGCGTTTTTAGCTAATATTTGTTATGACTTATAGAGACATGAATTATTGAAAATTTTAAAATTGAAAATTTAAATATTGTGTTTTCGTCCATTTTAGCTATTATTTGTGATCGCTTATAGAGATATCAATTATTGAATATTTTAAAATGGCTATAACTCCTTAAATATTGAGTTTTCGGCAATTAAAGCATGAATTTTTGAATATTTTAAAATGACCATAACTCCTTAAATATTGAGTTTTCGGCGTTTTTAGTTATTATTTGTGATCACTTTTCTAGGCATGAATTATTGAATATTTTAAAATGGCCATAACTCCTTAAATATTAAGTTTTCGGCGTTTTTAGCTATTATTTGTGATCACTTTTTAAAGCATGAATTATTGATAATTTTAAAATGGCAATAACTCCTTAAATATTGAGTTTTCGGCGTTTTTAGCTATTATTTGTGATCACTTTTCTAGGCATGAATTATTGAATATTTTATAATGGCCATAACTCCTTAAATATTAAGTTTTCGGCGTTTTTGGCTATTATTTGTGATCACTTATAGTGACATAAATTATTGAATATTTTAAAATGGCCATAATTCCTTAAATATTGAGTTTTCGGCGTTTTTAGCTATTATTTGTGATCACTTTTCTAGGCATGAATTATTGAATATTTTAAAATGGACATAACTCCTTAAATATTAAATTATTGGCGTTTTTAGCTATTATTTGTGATCACTTTTTAAAGCATGAATTATTGATAATTTTAAAATGGCCATAACTCCTTAAATATTGAGTTTTCGGCGTTTTTAGCTATTATTTCTGATCACTTTTTAAAGCATGAATTATTGATAATTTTAAAATGGCAATAACTCCTTAAATATTGAGTTTTCGGCGTTTTTAGCTATTATTTGTGATCACTTTTCTAGGCATGAATTATTGAATATTTTATAATGGCCATAACTCCTTAAATATTAAGTTTTCGGGGTTTTTAGCTGTTATTTGTGATCACTTTTCTAGGCATGAATTACTGAATATTTTAAAATGGCCATAACTCCTTAAATATTGAGTTTTCGACGTTTTTAGCTATTATTTGTGATCACTTTTTAAAGCATGAATTATTGAATATTTTAAAATGGCTATAACTCCTTAAATATTAAGTTTTCGGCAATTTAAGCTGTTATTTGTGATCACTTTCCAAAGCATGAATTATTGAATATTTTAAAATGGCCATAACTCCTTAAATATTGAGTTTTCGGCGATTTTAGCTATTATTTGTGATCACTTTTCTAGGCATGAATTATTGAATATTTTAAAGTGGCCATAACTCCTTAAATATTGAGTTTTCGGCGTTTTTAGTTATTATTTGTAATCACTTTTTAAAGCATCAAATATTGATAATTTTAAAATGGCCATAACTCCTTAAATATTGAGTTTTCGGCGTTTTTAGCTATTATTTCTGATTACTTTTTAAAGCATGAATTATTGATAATTTTAAAATGGCCATAACTCCTTAAATATTGAGTTTTCGGCGATTTTAGCTATTATTTGTGATCACTTTTCTAGGCATGAATTATTGAATATTTTATAATGGCCATAACTCCTTAAATATTAAGTTTTCGGCGTTTTTAGCTATTATTTGTGATCACTTTTTAAAGCATGAATTATTGATAATTTTAAAATGGCAATAACTCCTTAAATATTGAGTTTTCGGCGTTTTTAGCTGTTATTTGTGATCACTTTTCTAGGCATGAATTACTGAATATTTTAAAATGGCCATAACTCCTTAAATATTGAGTTTTCGACGTTTTTAGCTATTATTTGTGATCACTTTTCAAAGCATGAATTATTGAATATTATAAAATGGCCATAACTCCTTAAATATTGAGTTTTCGGCGATTTTAGCTGTTATTTGTGATCACTTTTTAAAGCATGAATTATTGATAATTTTAAAATGGCAATAACTCCTTAAATATTGAGTTTTCGGCGTTTTTAGCTATTATTTGTGATCAATTTTAGCTGTTATCTGTGATCACTTTTAAAAGCATGAATTATTGAATATTTTAAAATGGCTATAACTCCTTAAATATTGAGTTTTCGGCGTTTTTAGCTATTATTTGTGATCACTTTTTAAAGCATGATTGATTGAATATTTTAAAATGGCCATAACTCCTTAAATATTGAGTTTTCGGCGTTTTTAGCTATTATTTGTGATCACTTTTTAAAGCATGAATTATTGAATATTTTAAAATGGCCATAACTCCATAAATATTGAGTTTTCGGCGTTTTTAACTATTATTTGTGATCACTTTTTAAAGCATGAATTATTGAATATTTTAAAATGGCCATAACTCCTTAAATATTGAGTTTTCGGCGTTTTTAGCTATTATTTGTGATCACTTTTTAAAGCATGAGTTATTGAATATTTTAAAATGGCCATACCTCCTTAAATATTGAGTTTTCGGCGTTTTTAGCTATTATTTGTGATCACTTTTTAAAGCATGAATTATTGAATATTTTAAAATGCCCATAAGTCCTTAAATATTGAGTTTTCGGCGTTTTTAGCTATTATTTGTGATCACTTTTCTAGGCATGAATTATTGAATATTTTAAAATGGCCATATCTCCTTAACTATTGAGTTTTCGGCGTTTTTAACTATTATTTGTGATCACTTTTTAAAGCATAAATTATTGAATATTTTAAAATGCCCATAAGTCCTTAAATATTGATTTTTCGGCGTTTTCAGCTATTATTTGCGATAACTTTTCTGGGCATGAATTATTGAATATTTTAAAATGGCCATAACTCCTTAAATATTGAGTTTTCGCGTTTTTATCTATTATTTGTGATCACTTTTTAAAGTATGAATTATTGAATACTTTAAAATGGCTTTAACTCGGTAAATATTGAGTTTTCAGCGTTTTTAGCTATTATTTGTGATAAATTTTCTAGGCATAAATTATTGAATATTATTTGTGATCATTTTGCTAGGCATGAATTATTGAATATTTTTAACCATAACTCCTTAAATATTTATTTTCCGAAGTTTTTTATTTCTATTCTTTTCTATTTTTGGCTCGAGCTACTTCCATTTGTTGGCGTAAGAAAACATCGCTTTATTGTTAGCTATACAATTTTATTATTTATATAATAAAAAATTATAATTTTATATAAATATATTTCGTTTGTTATACTTATTTATTATTTTTCATATACTTATATAACAAAATAAAAATATTAAATTTTAAAAAATAAATTTCAAAATCTTTAAAATATTTTGTGAGTTACTTTCTTAAGATTTTATTCGATGTATATATGTGTTTTTATTTGTGGGTGTGTATACGAGTATGTTTCACATCTTAGATTTCTAATTTGTTTAGTTTTTAATTTTTTCATTTAATTGACACAGTTTTCTCTTATATAAAAATTGCACATAATTTTTGCAATAATTACAAGCAGTAAATAAACAAAAATAAAATATAAAAATCGAATACTATATTAAAATAATATATCAGAAATTTAGAAAAAAAAATAAAATGTGTATACAAAAATATTTTCAAAGTAATAATTATAAAGTAGAATAAAATATATAGATAAATTACATACATAAACAATTGGGTTTGTATTTGTTGTTATTATTGGAATTTGTTGTTATTTGTAATATGCTACACCCTGCCTTCAACTTGTGTGTGATTTCAAAATCAGGGAGTATTTTCACATACTAAATGCACAAATTCGAAAAATAACTGCAATCAAATATGGGAAATAGAGTTTCTTTTTTCGCCTCTATTTTTCAGTGGAAACTCTTTTTTTTTCTATTTTCCTAACTTCTTAGCTATCGAACTACAACAACATATCGTACAAAATTGAAAAAAAAAAAACTGTTAGACTCTGCAAATGCAAACATTTGACTTGATTTTCTTAAGCTATGCTAATTATTCACCACGCTCTAGAGCGGCGATTTGTTAGACAGGCAGCTGGCCCGCAAGCAGATGCGTGCAGGCCCATACGCTCACGCACATTTCATGTCACCCAAATATTTCTTCATTCCTTTGAATTGATGTCAGCTGGGAAATAGTGACAATACGCCAATATGCCTAAGCCGCTCCTCTCCTGTCATGCCTTGCCGTCGCTCTAACAATTGTGGCACTTAACCAAACCCACTTCGTCACAGTTCATACATTTCAATGCCACAAATTCAGCTGTGAAATGATTTCGATGCACAGACTTCTTGGAACCTTTGCAGGAGGGACATGGCAGCAGACGATAACCACCGCATGTCTGACAGGTGTAGGTAGTTGCGATTGACTGGAATTGGAGAGAAGAGAGTAAAAAAATAGGTTAGCAATTTTTTTGGGTGAGCTAAGCAAATGGTCAAAGATAGTATACCTTATAGGGTTTTAATAACTGTCTAAGTTCTCCGGATTCATTGAGGCGTTCCACTGTTTCGGCGTCCTGAAAAATGTATAAAACAAAACGAATGATAAACATTTTGAAGTGATAATAGGTTAAATTTTTAAAATCAAGAAAAACCAATTGGACTAGGAAAACATGTCTAACTGAAATATAATGTCGGATGAAACAGATATAAAATGGCCAAATCTGAACCATGGAAATAAGATTTGTACATGGGCTAAACAAACAAGTTACTAAACATTACCATCGTTCTCCACTAATAAACAAACGTTGTTTTTATAAAAACAACAAAAAAGGGATAAAGTCTGACCATTTTGCAACAACAAAGTAAATTATTTCCTTTGAATTTTGACCTTGTGTGGCGGAGGTACCAGAAAGAGTGAAACGATGTTGCCCATCTCCCAACTCGATCTAAGTTCAAAAATAATATTACGATGTACCAAGTTTGAACCAAATTGGATACTCCCCCTTCGAGATCTACTCCAAATATCTTGAAATGGATACGGTTCAAAGAGACCTAGGGTCTAAAATCGTTTATTCGATGAGGAACGTTTTGGCCGTATTATATGATATATACACTCTCTAGCCATATGGCTGAGAGTATAAAAGGACTCAAATGAGGGATAACATTTTTGACAAAAGACATGCTCGTATTGTTATCGGTAATATTCCCGACGACACTATATTTCTAAAATGTACGGATTTCATGGGACCTGATGGGATAAAATGCGAAGAGGGGAACTTGCCCCGTCTATGTAAACTTTCAAAACACCCATGCACTTGACCATACATAGTATGGAGGGTATATTAAGTTAGTCATTTCGTTTGTAACTCATCGAAATAATAATTTTAAACCTAACACAGTTTATACAGGGTGAGATAAAAAAGTCGAACGCCATAATTTTTACATTTTTTTTTAATTTTAATGAATGAAAGCAAAAAATGTCGGAAATAGCATCAAATTTTAGAATAAGTTTAGATTTGTTCGAATTGGTCACCTTTGGCCCGAATTATGGCATTCAAACGGCCAATGAACCGTCACACGCTGACCGAATGTTGCTCTGCGGTATTTTGGCACATTTTCGGCGAAGCGCTTGTTTGAGTTGATTGACACTTTGGTATTTTTTAGTGCCAACCTTGCTTTCCAAAATATTGCAGACACAATAGTCCAACGGATTGGTATCCGGAGATTTTGGTGGCCATTGTGCGCTGGAAATGAAGAGAGGAACCTCATTGAGTGCGATGGTGCTGAATCCTGTTGGTCTGCGGCCAAAATATTTCCGTGCTCAAGGCTTTAATACACCCTCCAGGATATTTTCGCTGTAATATTCGGCATTTATTCTGATGCCACGGTCGATTAATACGAGCGGAGAGCGAGCATCGGCTATTATGGCGGCCCACACCATTGCCATGGGCGGCGCTTGAGTTCTGGTGGCCAACCGAAGGTGTACATTTTCAGCTGACCTCTTTGGCTATTAAACAGGATCATTTTGTTTGTTTACAAACTGCTGGACAACGAATGTTTTCTCATCGGAGCGGAGAAAACCAAATTCGGCAGTTCACCACTTTCGGCCAAGCGAAGCAACTCTTTAGCTCATTTGATTCTATTTTCGCCCTGTTGCGATGTAAGTTTTTGCACCTTTTGGAATTTCAATGGCTTTACTCCTAGGTCATTTTTCAATATTTGCCGATTGGAATATTGCGATATGTTCAGCTCACAGGCCATTTTTGGGCCACTGCGGCACGGGTTTCGATCAAGTCGCTTCTTTACCTTTCAAACCATTTCTGCTAATGTTGCTGTTTTTCCAGGAAAGAGAATTATCTATAGGCCCCATATAGCGGTACCTTCCGATCCGGTATTTTGATGATTGTAGCCAAAAAATCGATGGAATTGTAAGAAAATCTATACAAGGAGTTCCTTCTGAGTACTTCATCCCCCAGAAGATAATGGCACCTCACTTTATTCGGTAGTTTGATGATATTAGCGACATTAGTCAACGAAATTGTTTCAAATTTTAAGTTCGCAATCGGTACTACAACCAATGACAAAAAATGAATGCGGTATTTTTCGACGGATTTTATTAAAATTTTTCAAGATTCTTCATAATAGTGGAGGGTATTAAAATTTCGGGCCGGCAGAACTTCATTGCTTCTTTTGCTTGTTAGCTCTACTTTCATAATCTGCTGGATATTAACAATAATTATGGAAATGCTAGTCTTTTGGGTCATATCTTCGGGTCCTGTACCATGAAGAAAATACTTTTCGCGGAATCGGGAAATAGTTGTTCCCTGATTAGAAAAGGTTCCTTGAAACTTATGTATTCACAATTTTCTACCATTATCAACTTCAAATGCCACATTTCAATCTATTCGTTTAAAATTTTCAAAGTACAGACTATTAGGTGTTTTCGTTATTTCGGAGCTTCAAAAAATCGGGAATTTATATAGACAATATTCTGCCAAAGAGTGAATTTTTAGCACCTAATTTACGAATTTTATGCACCCAACCCAAATGTAATTAAAATCGTCCAAATAACTAATATCGGAAGGAAACATTATATGGCGGTTTAATGAAAATGTGGATCTACAGAGACAATTTTCTATTAGAAATGAGGGTATTTATTGCGAAATCTGAATAATTTCACACCAAATTCCGTTAAGAACTGGAGCTAAAATTGTTAAACAATAATTCTTCAAATAATAGTTTAGTTACTCGAAAGATATAGTTTTGCAGGGTATTAGCTAATCGAAAAAGTGACTCAATATAGCCCATCTTCGAACATAAAATCCGAATGTAACCTCTTCCGGCACTGTCCCCATTCGATTTTTCCAATCATAGGTACTTAAGTACTGGAACCAATTATTTTTACAGCGAATTATAAAATTCCTCGAAATATTCTTTATATAAGAAGTGGTTGTCAATAAGACCAAGATCATTTGACGTTCCTAGAAATCCGCATAGCCGTTACAAGAGAATTACTACGAACAACGTTGATGTTTATGACAGCCTTGACATTAAAACTTACGATACTTACTTACATATAAACGTACATACGTACATACAGAAATATATATTTTCAAGCTATTAGCAAATTAACAACAACCATCGACAGCAGAAGCGACAATAACCCCCTTTTTGCTGTTGTTAAGATAATAATAACAACAATAAAAACAACAACGACAACCACAATATAAAAATAAACACAACACTTGTTTTTGTTGTCCAACTTTATGAGGAGAGGGAAAAACAAAATACCTATCTGCCGATAGATAAAACGTTGCCATTGGAGTTTCGTTTCTTATGTGGCGCAACATTTTGATGAACCAATGGAGCAACAACAACAACAACTTCAACTAAAAACAACAACCTCAAATACCAGATAAGAAAACTCAAAACCAAAAATCAAAAAAATAAAGACAAACCACACAGCTGCCAGCCCAGATGGTCGACCAACTGTGTGAACCATCCGTCATGTTTTTGGGGGTAGAAGTTACTGAACTTTTTTAAATGGCGGTGGCGCCACCGATACCCCTCATGTTTTTTGTATCTGCACCAACCGAGAAAAAAGTGTCATCACATGAAGCAGCCAAGCAATTGGTTGTCGCAAAACTTATTTTTTTTTTTTTTTGTGAAAGTGAAACCTGTGTTTAGCCATTTTTGTTGTGATTTCAGGATGCAGCATATTTTGCTTTCATTTGAATTGAAATGTTTAAATATTGTAAACAATAAGTATCTGAAAAAGAGATCTGGATAAACTCTCCTTTGTATTACACTGGGCGACAAAAAAAAAAAAACAAAATAATTTCAGAAAAAATCAATAGTGTCGATTGGAAAATGTGGCCACGACCCTAGAAATTACTAAAAGCATGGGTATCTTCTTTAATGGTTACACCAAAACGTGGACCTATATTGATAACACTGTGCGGCAGTATTCAATTTTTTCTTACCATGATGCTACTACCATGAATTCAGACGATTACAGTTGCTTTTATCCTCAGGCCAGAAAGGGTATAGATCATGGAATCCGGCCAAAACGTGCCTCACCGAAATAACGGTTTTTGAGCATAGGTCTCTTTGGGCCAAATCTATTTCAGGGCATTCGGAGTCGATCTAGCGATGTCCGTCCGTCTGACTGGCTGGTGCGCACTCTTCAAGAGAGTTCCAATTTGGTCCTAACTTGGTACATTTTAATATTTTTATCAAACTTAGATTAAGTTCGGAGATGGGCAATATAGGTCCATTCCATCTGGCACACCCCCTCCCCCAAAAAAAGTAAAAATTTTCACAGCAAAAAAGTTATTTAATAGAACAAAAGAAGATCGCCCAACTTTAAGCTAACTTTGCAAATCCTAATATTTGAATCAGCGCAAGGTCAAGTGCGAAGTTGAAGAATATTGGTCCACTCCATCAATTATTTCCCCCACAAATGGTCAAAGTTTTTAATAATTATAACTCTTATAAAATGTGATGTAAGAGTCCAACTGTCTCCAAATTACACATATCACCATAAACCCAGACCTTGGTGTGAAGATGGAATAGAGTCGGTCCACTTCTTCTGGTACCTCCCCCCACAAAGATACAAAGGTTTGATTAACCAAAACGATCATAAAATCCGAAATAAGCATCCAGCTTTCTTTCTATTTCTATATTATTTCTACTGGTACCTCCCCAACTTAGGGTTCAAGATTTTCAGAAACAAAACGCTCACTGAAATCGAAATAAGCACCCAACTCTTTTTAAATTTCTCACATACAAAATTTTTTGGTAACAAAAGAACCGCTTCTGGTACCTCAGCCACAAAGGGTCACAATATTCAATACTTTTATCTGTCACAACTTGCGAAACAAGTCAGCGTTTCATACAATTCGCCATATCTAAATATTTCTCTCTACGGAGATTTTGGTGGCCACTGTGCGTTGGAAAAGAAGAGAGGAAACTCATTTTGTAACCGATGGTTCTGAGTCCTGTTGGAATATCCGAGGCCTGCGGCCAAAATGTTTGCGTGCCCTAGGCTTTAATACAACCTTCATAATATTTT